GAACCTCCATGAAGATTGGCCCAATCTATGGGCCAGGGGCTGCTGGGAATTGGAGTGCAGCTTCTGGCCAGATTGCCCACCCTTGATCTATGAAGGAAAGGAATTTTAGCCAGTATCACTTTGAGAGTTAGCCATCTAGTCTTAATTTTCATTGTGTTGCCACGTTGTTGAGCCCCAGCTCAAGTCTGGGATCGTGCCCGGTATGCAAAAGCCCATAAAGATACCAGGGGTGAAAGTATAAAGATTTATTGCTAGCAATACAAGGTGCAAGCGGAATAATTTCACGTAACAAGCACACAGATTTTTAATTCTAAGCCTCTCTTATACAGGAGTATTGGACCTTCGTAATCATTCTTGTTTGCTAATTGGTTAGAAGGGAGTGACGCAAGGAGTTCTTTACTGAGCATGTCTCTATACCTGTGATTTAGCTATGTATCTCATTTACATACATGTATGTTTCATTAGCATACTTTCTCCCCACCTAGGGGTGTGATTTTTAATATTTAAATTAGCTCTTTGCCCTAGTCCTCTGATTCTGCTTTTGTTTTCAAGCCTCCTTTATCTAAGACTGTCTCCTCCTTATCATTGCAGATGGGCATTAGTTACATAACAGAGACTTTTGCTTGGGCTTTGTATAGTAGTTTCTAGGTCAAACCTGACAGAATCAGTACACTTCATGGATCAGAGCCTCCCTCTGAAGCAGAAACCCCCTCCTACTCCAACACACAAGCTAAATTCAGACTCTTTCACCCCATCTTACTCATCCAATCACTTCACGCTCTGGCCTGTTCATCAGAAAGTTTTGTATCAAGCACACACTCAGACTGTGTACTGTCCAAACAGATTCTCACTTACCTCATGCAGTCTGCAGTAATTCCCATCATCAAACTTTGTATTGAAAACTTGCTCAGACCATGTCCTATCCAATCAAATGCCTGTCTATACACTACCACGCTATTGCACACAATGCCATACCTTGCACTCAGCAGGTGGATGCTAGCCACTACGCATGCCTACAGCAAAACTAGGTCACTTAAGTCAGCCAAGAGCAAGAATTCACTCTTCCTAGAATAATCTTAACTGAAATGACTACTGCACATGCACAGTATAGGATCTTATGCACTTAAAACCGCAACTATAACAACTTAAGCAGGGGAGTTGTCTAGTGCACTGAAAATTCCTCTCATCGTTGCAGTCTCTTTTCTTGTCCTCCATATTCTTTTCTCCCCAGTTGCCCCCCTATCCTGACACATGCTTTTTCTTCCTCTTTCTTTTATTATTTTTCCTTTCTTTCAAAACCTCTCCTTTTCCCTACCATCTTTGATTGCTGTTTCATGTTCTTTTACTAGGATGTAATGTCTATAATGAAAAGGCTTACTGAAAACAGTCCCGCTTCAAAAATGATTTAAAAAATTGGTATTTTTATAAAATACATTTAAATTAAGGTACCACGTGCTATTAATGCCACTTCAGAGCCTTAGGGTGTGGATACACTTCTCTGATGAAAGAAGATATTTTTTCTTTGGCTACATAACTGGAAGCATTTAGGCATGAATCGATAAATAAATGTATTAAAACCAATACAGACAGTAGTAAACTCAAAGACAAACAAATCAAAACCTGTAAATAAAACATTAACAGCAGCAACAAACAGCCTTATAATAAACATATACTAGAAAGAAAAATTAATGTTGGGTTTTGGCTGGAAAGATGCTACATAGGACCTTGGTACTCTACAGCTCTACCCCCTGCTCTCATTTGCTGTAGCTCAACTTAGTACAATTCAGAGCTATCAAGTTACCCTATCATTCTTTTAAATAAGTTGGTGTGGGCTGTGGAGGTAAGATGTCACAGACTTTTCTGGACAAAGGCTGGACAAAGGCTTATAACCTAGTTCAACAGCTGCACTCTGGGTAATTTCTCAAGCTTAAGCCCTAACGTATTTTATTAATGTAGTGTAGGAGTGAATAAAATACAAGTATTTGAAAGCAGAAACAAAGTTCGTGCAAATAATAAACATAAGCTACTGCATATCTGGATCTTAACTTTAAAAAAACTGCTAAGTATCCTGTTTTAGAACAGTAATGTTCTAGGTTGAGTATCTTTTTATGTAAATTAGTTTTGTGTTTACTAGGCAATTAACTATCACGACAGTACTGAGACCATAGTCATTTAATTCATCCTACAAATCCAATTACAAAAGAAAATAGACTTTATTTTCTAGAAGTACATCCTTGCTTAAAGATTTGAACTCACATATCCTTTATGTAATGATGTAGAAGATGGAAATAGTTCCAAATGTCAAATATCTACACCAAGCCAAAAGAAGCTGTTAATTTTGTTTGTGTTTGGAGTCCTCCAGGGCAATGACATGATTTACATTACTTCATAGATGCGTAGTTCTCATTGGCTGCTGTCTACACATGCTGGGCCAGATTCATCTGTTTGTGTCATGCCAGGATCAGGACAGCTGGGTCTAGGGCCACTTGAGGGATCAAGGTGCTGACCAGGACCACGATGGCAAGCAGTATCCAAGGACAAACCAGGTCAGGGAGCTGAGAGATCAGTCAGAGAGTGGAGTCGAGGAGCAGGCTGAATCCAGGGATTGAAGGAGTAGACAGAGAGCAAGATTACCAAGAAGCGAAGCCAGGAGATCGGTCACAGAGCAGAGTCTAGGATCAAACTGAAAGAAGCTGCAGCACAGTCGAGAGTCAGGTAGAACCCTATTGCTCAGACACTTCCTGTTCCAGCTAAGGGGTTTATATGGGGGAAGTGGCAGATTAGCAGACTCCAGCCAGCCACTCCAGTGACAGGGAGTGGGTGGAGGGTGAGGCTCTGCTGGATGCTTCAAGTCAGCTTTGACCAGTCTGGATGATCCGCTTTAGGTTGGCCAGCTGGCATGAATGGCTTTATTGGTCAGGCTGAGGCCCCAGGTTTGAGACTGCAGACTGACCATTTATTAGTCCATTTCATTCATGCAGGAGTTCAGCCTGTTAATTTTAAAAAGTGTTTTGTAATGTGTGACTGTACTAGGCATTACTTCATAGCAGCAGTGTTGGGTTATTGTTTACATATATTGATGTTAAAATGCTTTTAATAATATACAGCTGTAATAAGCCTTTTTGAAGACTTGGAGAACTGAAGAATTACTATAATTGGAGTCAGATTGTCCATAATTTAAAAGAATAGAATGCAGATCTTAAAGGAAACTACGTGTTATCATCTTCAAATTTTATGTGGGTTTTTATGCTTTCTTGGTTTAAAAGTCATTGCAGACATCAGTCAAATTGAAAACAACATCATTACTACATCGCAGATTCTCTCTGTATTGTTTTGTCTAGTTATGTAAATTCAATTTTGTTTGTATATATTTGTAGGCAAACTCGACGACTTCGAGATGCCGAACAAGAAAAAGATCGAATGTTGCTCAAGACTATCATAAAAGTTTGGAAAGAAATAAAATCCCTGCGTGACTTTCAGAAGTTTACTAATACACCCATGAAACTATATTTGCGAAAGTATGTTTTGATAACATTTTTGTTACTTCATGAGCCAGCAGTTGGATTTCATGGAGCACAGTCAAATTTGGAAACTCAAAAATTACATGAAATAAACACTAAGATAAGCCTTCAGCCAACAATTGTTATAGGGTGAACCTGCTACTCTTCCTTTTTTAGGTTAAAAGTTACAAGTAATTATTGTAGCAGAGAGAAATTTCCAGAGGATAACAAATAAAGGCAGAATTAAGTTCATCATTGATAGTTACTGTCCACTTTCCATTCTTTTAGAATCTATCACAAATCTTGACACTAATTCCCTGCCATTTTGAAGTATTTATTGTATGCTGCATATAAATTGTTTTGGAATGTCTCACTTATTTTATGACTTACTTAGTTTTATCACCACACTAGCTTATTAATTTCTAATTAATTTTATTTTAAGAGAATGCAATCACTTGCAAACTAATGGCAACAAAGGGGTGAGATTAGCTAAATTCTGCATTGAAGAACTGTCATACGTGAAAATTAATTTACTAATTGGAGTTTGTTGTTGCTTAATAAGAAACTCATCTCAGGATTCCAAAACTTTCTTTGTATTTATCTGAACTTTTGAAAAAGATAGTACTGCTAGAGTCACTTTGCTGAGAATTGTTTGAAAAATTACCCTCTGTGGCAATGTAAATGAAAGGAAGGCTAAGATGTGAATGAATTTTTCAGTAGAACATATTTTTGGTATAGTGACAGGATTCAACTTTGAATATAACATTGTTCTGTAATGTTTATTTTGTCATTTATAAGCTCAATAATACAACATATAGACCTAATAATGCATGGTACGTTGTCAAATTATAACAAACTGTTTTGAAGGGAAGAGGTTGATCGAAGATCAGATGAAAAAGCATTTGAAGAAGAAATTCAAGCTGAAATAAATGAACTATTGGAAGAATATATAGAAGAATATGGAAAAAAAATGGAAGAATACAAAGCTGAGTTACAAGAGTGGAAATCCTGGAGGAAGGCAAAGGTAATGGAAACAGCTCAGATTTTCTAGATTGCATTGTTGCTAAACGTGTCTTTGAGGTATCTTTTGCTAAGTCCTACTTCAGAATGGTCCTGCTTTGAGCAGGGGGTTGGGCTGGATGACCTCTTGAGGCCGCTTCTAATCTTAATTTTCTATGATTCTAAGGTAGAAATAGCTTAAAGTCAAGGATGGTCATGTACAAATGTTTAAACCATAGTTGAGTTCACATGGATAAATTATGTTTAGGATTGCTGCTAAATTCTTTTCATGTTAATTGTATTGATGCATGTTGTTTTCGATTGAGTACAGGAAGTTACACTTTCTGAAAAGCCTTGTCTACATTACAGAGTTTTTTGTTCATAGCAGTATTTGGCATGGACAAATGTTCACTTGCAGTAGAGTGCAGCAGCTGTTGCACTTTAACTGTTGCACTTGCAGAAGCCTGTAGCAATACAAGTTTGCTAAATCTCTCTAATTTATAATCACATGTTGCCTATAGAAATATGATTATAACAAAACCGCTTCAGCTTTAACCCTGCTTCATCCAAGTTTGTCTCTGCATGTGGCTCTGGAGCCAGCATGCAGGATCAGACCCAGCATGCAGGATCAGACCAGGTCCAGGGCTGTGCGCCAGGTCACAGCTGGTGTGCTAGGTCTGGCCGTGGATCAACCCAATCCATTGCATAGAAGGGGAGGGGGGGTTCCCCACAGGTTTAGTAATTTGGTGATGGAGGAAGGGGGGAAAGCATTGTCAATGTTAATTGCCATGGTTCCCAGAGTTGTGCCAAATTTTCCCATGCCAAATTTACAGACCCATGGGTATCATTTTTCTTCACATATAATGCTCACCTAGATTCTCCCTAGCTGGTTTAGGGGATAAAGGTTACATATGAGGGACTTGTTGCACATTGCACTTTGAGCAACTCACATGTTGATCAGTTTTCGTGCTAGCTCGAGTTTGCAGCAGTCATGCCTTAAGGCTAAAAACCGTCTCTCGCTCTTCCCAAGCTGCACAGCTATGACTTGGCATTAGAGCAGGGGTGGGCAATCATTTTGTGTGGAGGGCTGCTTACCACATTTTGGCAAGCTGTTGAGGGTTGTATGAGTAGCCCCACCCCTTGGCAGATGCCCCGCCCCCTGGTCACTATCTTGGGACCAGATGTCCCGTCCCCCCCCCCAAACCTCTGACCCTTGCCACCGGAAGTCCCTTCCCTTGCCCCTGGAAGTACTCCATTGAGGAAGAGGGTTTGCCATCTTAGAACTGGAAAAAAACAAATTATGTACTAAAAGTCAAATACCGATAACATTAAATTTTAATTCAATTTAAAAATATATATTTTTGTCCTGATACGTGTGTGTTTGTGCTTTATATGTAGAAGTGATTGCATACGAGCTCTAAATGCAGTTTTACTCTTGTATAGTGGGGGTGGGGGTATGGGTGGGTGTATGTGGGGTTTTTGGAGAGCTGTGGATGTGTATGTGTGTGGTATTTGTGCGATGTGTGATTGTGTGTGGAGGAGGGTGTGGCTGTGGGGTTTGCAGGTTTGAGGGTATGTGAGGTGTGCATGGGAATGCCCTGCACCCACCCCCACTCTGCAATAGCCCAGAGCCCAAGCGTACTGGTGCAGCTGCTCAGATCCAACTTTGGGGGATCCTCCCCGGGCTTCCACTGCCCTGTGCTGGGTCCCCTCTGGCTTGTACTGGCCTCAGCTGCACCCCTGTGCTGTTTCCCAGGCCAGCCAGGCCCTTCCCAGACAGCCCCTTGGTTCCTAGCAGCTGCAGGAGCCTCTGGAATGCAAAAGCATCCGCGGGCCTAATCCTGCTCCTGGCGGAGCCTCCCTGCCCGTCCCAGGGATGGGGGCAAGCTGCTGATGGGCCTCCAGGCCCCTGGTGTGCAGGGGGCCCTGGGCCTTCCCCCTGGTATGGCACCACATCCTGGGGCCAGCTGTGGGGGGAGCCAGCCAGGCCCTTGCTGCATCAAGCCTCACGGCCACATTTGCACTCTGGCAGCTCCTGGTGCTGCCATGAGGCTGGGGGCCACTGAGGAAGGGCCTGTCAGGCCAAGGGGGCAGCATGGGGAGCTCCTGGAGCCGCTGGGGAAGCAGCCCGGGGTGTGGGAAGCGCAGGGAAGCAATGCATAAGTTACATCCTGTGCCTGAGGCTTGGGGCAGGAATGACCCAGTTGCCCTGTCCCACGGGTGGCTCCGGTGGGTGCCACCACCCCGGAAGGAAGTTCTGGCCCTCCCGCCCCGCAGGGGCCCAGCTCATCCCCTGGCCCCAGGATGGGCAGGGAGGCAGTGCTAGGAGATGGAGTAGAGCCGCGGCCACTTTTCTGCTCCAGAAGCTCCTGCAGCTTCCAGGAGCCCAGGGGCCTTAGGGAAGCTCCTGGCCATCCTGGGGGGCATCATGGGGGACTGCCCAAGGCCACTGGGGGCGGCGCGACTCGGCAGGGATGCGCCCAGGGCGTGGGAAGCATGGGGAGGCAGCACAGAAGTTACATCCTGCACCTGAGGCTTGGGATGGCAACAGCCTGGCTGCACTCCCCACGGGTGCCCCAGTGGGTGCTGCTGCCCTGGGGGGGGAGGCCTGGCTCTCCCTCCTGCTCTCCAGGGGCTCAGCGGCCTGCCGGCAGCTCGCCTCTTGGCCTCAGGATGAACGGTAAGACTGCTCCAGGATCTGGATTGGGTCCACGACCACTTTTCTGCTCTGGAAGCTCCTGTGGCTTCCCTGGGCTTCCTATGCCCCAGGCGGGGTCCCTGCCAGGTCATGCCACCCCCAGCAACCTCGGGAGGCGACCCGTGCTGCCCCCAGGGCTGGCCAGGAGCTTCCCCGGGGCCCTCAGACTCCTTGCAGCCTCAGGAGCTTCCAGAGCAAAAAAGCGGCCACAGCTCCAGTCCAGCTCCTGTCAAAGACTCACCGCCTGTCTAGGGGCCAGGGGGTGAACTGGCAGTGGGCCGCCAGGCTCCTGTGGAGCAGGCAGGGCTGGACCTTCCCTCTGGGGTGGCAGCTCCTGCTGGGGCTGCCTGTTGGGGGGGAGCTTCACCATTGCTGCCCCAAGCTTCAGCTGCGTGATCTAAGTTCTGCGTCACCTCACAGTGCTGCCCATGCCCTGGGCCACATCCCTGCTGGCTCTTGCCACTCCCAGTAGCCCCGGGCACCCCCTGTGCTGCCCCCAGGGCCAGACAGTTCCTTCCCCCAGGGCCCCTGGCTTCCTGGCAGCGGCAGGAGCTCCTGGAATGCAAATGCGGCCATGGGCCCGATGCAAGTCTCCATGGCCACCTGGCCCCAGGCCAGGCGGCCAGGGAGGCAGGTACCTGCCTGGGCAGCCCGGCGTCCTATCCTTTCTCCCAAATGGGTGAGTGTGGGACACATGGGGTTGGGAGTGAGCACTCTAGTCCCCGCCTGTACTATGAGGCAGGGGTGGTGGGGCTGGAAGCCAGCAACAGCAAGCAGTCCACTGGGGCCAGCACCAATGGGGCCTAGAGTAGGGTGGCAGGAGCCCAGAGTGCAGCTGGCTTGGCTCCATGAAGCCAGGCTGGGCTCTGCCAGCACGGAGAGAGGGGAGCGGCTCTGGGACACCAGCGCTGGCTCCCATGCCCCTGCTCGCTCCCAGCCCCTCTGCTGCAGCCCTGTAGCTAGGCAGGGACCAGTGCGCGCAGCCCCGACCCCGCACTCACCTGTCTGAATGAAAGGATCCCAGCTGCTGCTGGCTTCCATGCCTACTTGCTCCCGGCTGCCCACAAGACCCAGCAGGAGCTGACCTGGCCCCGAGGACTGGGGTGATTGCCTGCAGTCCTCCCCTGCCTTCATCCGCCCCCCATGCTTAACCTGAATTTCCTGCTCTGGCACAGGCACGAGCAGCCTCATGGTCCCAGGCCAGAAGCCTCTCCTAGTCAGGGTTTCCGGCTGTGGGGGGGGTGGGACTGGGTGGGCCCTACTGTTCCAGGGGCCTGCCGTGGCTTCCCCTGGGCCCTACTGCCCCTGGCTCCTGTCATTTTGACAGGAGCCAGAGGCAGATAAATATTACTTTAAAAATGTTTTAGGGGCCCCACAGGCCGGATAGAATGGCCTGGTGGGCCAGATGCGGTCTGCGGGCCATATTTTGCCCACCCCTGCACTAGAGTGCTGGCGAACTGAGGCCAGACTAGTAGCTATAGCTGTGAATTGCCACTAGAGAGCTGGTGAACCAGGTCAGGCTTCTATTCCTGCTTGAGGTGGGGATGTGTGAAAGATGGGTTGGTGGGGGGGAAGGGGCAGGAACATGAAGCTAGAAGGCAGAGAGTTAATGGGATTGTGGTGGGTAATAAAATGGGAGTTGGGAAGGAAATGGGGTTAGGGGATGGATAGTGATATGTGGGAAGTCAGCCATTGAAGGATACAATACAAAGAAATAAAGAGGAAGTAAATTAAAGTTGGTCGTCTTTTTTCATAAACTTGGATTTGGGATTAGGAGTGCTGGTCATGCTTCCTGGGGTGGCCGGGAGGTGGGAGCAGTGAGGGAAGACACTTTTGAGGTAGCTACTGCCCCTGCCCTAGGAAGGAAGCCTCATCTCCTGGGGACCTGATCTGATTTCCTACTTTGTTCCCCCTATGACCCCGCTGGACCCCATTCCCAGACCCATCTGTGCCCTGGAACCTGGATAACTTGCATATGCCCTGCAGCCTGTTTGCATAGGGTTGCACCCTAGGAGTGGGAAGGTCATATCCCTGGGGGCAGGCAGGGGAGTTGACTTGGTGCCAGAATCCCTTCCCTGAGCAGTAGAGTTAGATTTCAGAGGGTGGAAAGTTTGTCCACACAGAACAGGAGGGTGAGGAAGGGGACACTGCATCCTGGGATGCTGGGCCCCTGGGATGCTGAAGGATGCCTTGGGCAGCTCATCTGTGAGAAGTGACTACACATTATGGAACACAAGCTGGGTAACACAGATCAGAGATATACTTGCCCTGGAATGGCATAACTTTAAGCCACCTAAAGCATACTTAAAACTAGTTTCAGGTGTTAATATATGGACAATCCAGGCGTTAAGAGCTCCAGGAACCACCTAAATTAATGTGTAACAA